GGCTGCCGTGAGACGCGCAGCGCAGGTTTGCATTACATCATTAACAGCTGAGGGAGCTCATCTCGACGGGTAGACCAACTTGACAGAACACCACCGTTAGCATCAAAGGTCTGCCCACCACTTCTGTGTTTTTCCCCAACGCAGGACAGGACGACAGGACAGGAGAGGATGTACAGGTTTTGGAATGTTTTGAATGTGATTTAAAACGCAGATGTTTGGTTATGTGTGGTTGAGGTTATTTTTGGGTTTTTTTCTCAAAAACGGAGCAATGTGGATACAAATTATTTCATTACGGAGGGGGGGAAATATTCTGTTTTAAAAATACCCGCCTACGTGTGGACATGGCCTACTTCAGTCTCCCCTTTGCAATACAGGATATTATTGTATACGAGTACTTCTATTGTTTTAGTCCAGAAGTGAACATGGTCCTGAATTACTACTAATGCTAACATGTGATAATATCACTTTGGCTGTTCATGTTTTAGAATGTGAAATACTTCCTAGTTCAGACCTGTTTAAGCCCTGGTTCGGTCTTGCTTTAATAATAATAATAATAACATTTTGCTTTAGTCCTGGTTGAGCCCTGTTTTAGTCCTACTTTAATCCAGGTACAGTCCTGTTTTAGTACTGGTCCAGTGCAGCTCGTCCAATTCAGATGCCGTCATCATGTGCAGTTGTCACTTTTAATGCAATTTGAGGGGAGATGTTGATGGTTCCATGTTGTGATATACTGTATGGGTTTTAAGAGTGAAAGGCACATGCTCTGTAACTCTACCGCAGACTGTATACAGTACTTTACCGTATGAAATTGCAAAAATGTTTTGTGAAACATACAATACAGTACAACCCAAAGGAAAATGTTACTTCTCATACATGTCTATTCTTAAGCTTCTGGAGACAAAAATGTGATTCTCATCTGTTGCTCCGAAAGCATTTTAGGAGCAACAGATGAGATCAGAGTTTGAGCATACAGTAGGTCCCATTCCGTTTTGTCGCCTTTTTGTCCCCCCAGCAGCAAATCAATGTAGCTGAATGATGACGCTTTAGATGGGGAGCAAGCCAAAAATCTTGAAAACGGTGTGTAAGTTGTACGTTATTCTCTATGTAATTCAATGTGTATATGTTGGTACATATTGGACTGTTCTTTTTTTAATTCCAGTGTCAGAATTCAGCAGACAGAGACGGATCGTGGTGCGCCAAACTCTGGAAGTTTATTTAAGTTTCTCTCAAGTTCCACTGGTTTACTTTGTTTCTTTCTCCAAGACAGAATAAAGGCAGTACACAGTTTATATAGTCATTGTCACGTCACACATCGAAAGACATACGTGTCACAAAGAGACAGTCAAATCATAGTCATAACATGGAGTCCTTGTAGAGTCCTTGTACAGTCCTGCACGTAGGCCATATTGCTATCTAATACTAACACCCTCCCCTTTGATCACATGTGATCACTCAATTTGATCAATCAATAGTCAATCAATAGATCAATCAAAAGTGGAAAAAGAAAAAAAAAATCAATAAAAAACTTAAAGAAATTATTAAAAAACAAAGAAAATGTATGCATTAAACTCATAATCATCAAATCAATATCAGTGGATTTTATCCTCTATCCTGGGAAAAAACAAACAAACAAAAATAAAGTAAATAAACAAACAAAAAACAAATCAAAAATAAAAACAAACAAAAACACTATTGGACACACAAGAACTCAGCAGATTCAGTCAAAACACAGACAAAAACGAGCTGAGTCTCAAATTGAAGCTAATTTCACTTTTCTTACTCTATACTTTTATTCTAATGCTGATTGTTTACACTACACTTCACTTATCAATCTTAGACTGTGTACTTTACTTTTACTATCACTATAGTTTAAAACTATTCTAATCTATTTACAAATATGTTTGCATATTTGCTTCTATTGAGCCATATTCTTAAACATATATTTTAATCTAATAAATCTCTCTGTGGTATTATACTCTCATTATCAGTGGCTTTGTGCTTGTGGGATTTTGCTCTATGTCTACTCTCCATTCTCAGGAATAAAACTGTGAACACAGAAAGGCAAATGGTTAATATGAACATTATTATGGCTGTCAGTTTTCCAAATACATTTGTTGAACCAGGAAGTGATGTCACTTCCTCCTCTCAAGCAGTTTGGGATGAATGTACATCATTAATCAAATTTGAACTATCCTTACAAGAGCTAATCTATTTGAGCAGGTTTGGGGTTGGGGTCAATTATTCTACAATGGTGTTTGTGCTGGAAACTTCTCAATATCTAAATATCTACTTTTTGCTTTTGTGCTATACACAAATACATCAAAATGCTTTTAAATCTCTGTTGGTTGTAATCTATCTCATTGATCTAGGCTTTAATCTAGGCTACACTCATGAACCTTTTGCATTGTCAACATTCACCAATGTTTGAACACAAGTGAATTTGGCAAGTATCTAATAAAACTGTACATACAACTGTAATGAACTTTATCTATTTTTGAAGTAAAGGTTTGTGAAATGGTCCTTTTACCATTTGATATTAGCACTGGCTACAAATAATCTCTATTTTTGAAAGCATCTATGGTTGATGCATTTATCTATTCCTATTTTTACCCTATAGCACATGTGTCAAAGTCAAGGCCCGCGGGCCAAATCCGGCCCGCGAATGAATTATCTATGGCCCCCGGGACTGCCTGCCATTGAGGCAATGTATTGACCCCTTAAGCTCGCTAGCAAACGAGGAAAAAAATACATCTGCTGGCAATAGCAGATGTATTTTGATAAGCCACAAGCTCTATATCATTTTAAAGCTTATTTTCTCAGCTATATTTATATGTAAGTGTAAACGATATCAGACTTTGCATTAAAAAGACATAACGCATAACATGGGCACAAAATAAATCAGTCTGTATTTATTTTTTACATTTCGTCTTCTGCTGCTCCAACAAATTAGACTTTCCCCATCCTTGCTTAGTCTCTTTCTCTCCGTAACTGTTCATTGAAGAAGAATATCCACTTGTATTTCCCAAAGTATAATCCATTCTTCAGATTTATTCAAAAAACGCCCCAAAAAGAGGTCCAGACTGCTCTTTTACATTTCACCAAGTTTGAGCTTTTTTTTTTTTTTACTATTGTCATGTTCTCAGATGTCTATTACATCTAATATGTACAGTATGAGGATTGGCTTTAGAGCATATTTTATCGAGCCAGCAGGTGTCACCGGCACTGCCTCTGGATGTTGAGAAACATTGAACCAGTCCGGCCCTCGGCGCGTAGCAAACTTTTTTTTTTGGCCCTCTGATGTATTTGACTTTGACATGCCTGCTCTATAGTGACTCCAAAGCTCGTTTGCAGCTTGAGTCAAGGCATATTTCTAATCTGTGACTTCTATCACTTTTAATAGCTCTAACATTATTCTGATTCTAATATTTTAGCTGATCTATCAAAAGGATAACATTGTAGGGTACTATTTTAACTCTAAGTTGAAATGTGTTTATGAACAACAAAGGAAGTCAAATTCTACTTTTTTACTACTATTTAACATCTACTAAAACGCTACAATACTCATACTTTATCATTTTCAAAGTTTTTAACAGTTGCTCAGTCTCCCAGACTAAAAAGTCAAAGTTTTTGTCTGTCAGATGTCTGAATACTTAACATGTATATTGCATTTGGTCACAGGTTCTGGTTGTAGCAAAAGCATCAGCAATAGACGTTTTTCATTGGCTGGTTCTTGTTCTGCAAATGGCTGTGTACAATAGATCATCAGATGTCCAGAAGCTAGGGACAAACAAAAACAAAAGAAAGAATCATGAGTATCTCTCTCATTTAGCACTCATCAATGTATGATTTTAGAAATATAAACATCACTCCCCAGGTTTTTCTCTCAGGTCCTCAGATCCTCAGGTCCTCAGAGGGTGAGTCTCAGTCGTCATCAGGTCAGGTCATATTTCGAGAGATGTCATCTTGGACATCAGCAGGGTCCAAGCCATGGTTTTGGTCTCCAGATGCACATCGGATCTCCAGATACAGTCTTTTCACTTGAAGCGCACATCAGGTCATTTGCGATGCACTTCTGGTCAATGGTGCAGTGTCACAGTTCCTGTACACAGCTTGTTATGCAGTAGTTACTCTCTATGGTTAAGTCATTTTGATTCTACTCTAACACAATTTCTATTCATGCTGTTGCTAATGTCCCTCAGACAAAAGCAAGCGCAATGATTCAGTTTACTTCTCTAATTTGTGTTTTTATCAGATCTAATTCTAATCAATGTAATTACTTCACACAGTACAAAATCAACAAATAAAAAGTGTCAGGACAGACGTCAATTATGTCCATGACAATATAGAATTCAAATGAACATTTCTGGTCTCAAAAAATACTGATTCAAATAAAGATTCAAGTGATAGACAATTAAAAATATGTGTTTACATTGGAGTAAACTTTTAAAATGCTTTTTTCTCAAGTTCTGCTTTTTCATGTATCTATATGTAAATGTGAATGTGTGAGTGTATGAATGTGTGTATGTGTGTGGATGTGTGTATGTGAATTTTGGGGTTGTGTCTCCAGACTCCTCGAACCACCTGAAGGTCTCAAAGGTCACACTGTGGTGTTACGGCCCGGCTCGTGAGACCATAACATGAGAGGGAGGACACGACAAACTGAGAAGTTTAAACCCTCTGTGGGGCATTTATTTAAACAATAATAAAGTAATCTGTATGAAATCAGTGTAAGTGAATGGTATGCTGTGGGGTGCAAGGTGTTGTATCTGAAAGTCAGTAGGACAACCGTTGTAGTGCATATATTGTGTTGTAGCGCGTGTAAATGAAAAGACAAACTGGCGTGGCGGCTGGTCCAACAGGGCCCAGAATGGTAGCGGCAGTCCGGGCACGCCGGCAGGTGCCCAGAAGCCAGGTGAGAGAGAGAGAGTGAGGGGAAGCCGCTTTTTGAAGCATCCGGGAGGTCACATGACTTCCCAGCTGCCTCCCATCATCTCTGAACGTCATATGAACACTGCCACCACAGGCCCAGCAGAGGGGGCCGTCACACCCCCGCCCTTAAAATGCAGGTTCCCCCAAAGGAACCCTGCAACGAGGCGCCAAAAGAAAGAACGGCCACCAGCGCGTCCTCCAACTCCTCCGTCCCGGTCCACTCCTCCGTCCAGCAACTGGTGCACACAGAAACCTGGATACAAGGAGAGCGAGAAAGAAGAGAGGAACATACAATGGCAACACTATCACAACGGAGCGCGCGACAAAGCGTCAGCTACCACGTTATCGGATCCTTTAATGTAGCGGATGTCCAAGTTATATGATTGTAAAAACAGTGACCAACGGATTAACCGCTGGTTTGGACACTTAAAAGTTGACAAAAACGTGAGCGGATTATGGTCGGTGTGGACCACTGTCTCAACGCTGCCATTCAAGTAGACGTCAAAGTGTTGCAACGCTAGAATTAACGCATAGGTCTCCTTCTCAATCACTGAATAATTCAGCTGATGTTTGTTGAACTTCCTAGAGAAATAACTGACCGGCCGGTCGATACCAAGGTTATCTACTTGCGTAAGGACAGCCCCAGCGCCCACGTGGCTTGCGTCCACGTAGAGATGAAATGGTTGGGTCAGACAAGGCGCGGCCAGCACGGGAGCAGCACAGAGGAGTCTTTTCACCTGCTCGAATGCCTGCTGACAGACTGGAGACCACACAAATGTAATATCTTTACGCAGCAAGTTTGTTAATGGTGAGACAACCGATGAAAAATCTTTACAAAAACACCTGTAGTACCCAACGAGTCCCAAAAATCGCATTAGCTCCTTTTTTGTGACCGGAACAGGGAACTGCTCAACGGCTTCAACTTTAGCTGCAACGGGTCGGACCTGGCCCTGACCCACGACACGTCCCAGATAAGTAACAGTAGCCTTCGCAAACTCACACTTTGCAAGGTTTACTGTTAGCCTCGCCCCTACCAAACGAGTGAAAAGCTCCTCAATGCGTGCCAAATGCTCCTCCCACGAGTCCGAATACACAACAACGTCGTCTAAATACACCGCACAACCCGGCATATCTCCTATGACGCTGTTCATGAGTCGTTGAAATGTTGCGGGTGCATTTCGTAGACCAAATGGCATGACTGTATAGGAGTACAAGCCTGTTGGTGTAATGAACGCGGAGACTTCACGGGCTCGTCGAGTTAACGGCACCTGCCAGTATCCCTTTAAAAGGTCGAATTTGCTGACAAACCGAGCGGAACCAACTTGATCCACGCAGTCGTCCATTCTCGGCAATGGGAAACAGTCTGGTTTAGTAACCGCGTTCAACTTGCGAAAATCGGAACAAAATTGCATAGAGTTGTCAGATTTGGGCACAAGAATACATGGGGACGCCCAGCTTGAACAACTATGTTCTGCAATCCCATTTTCAACCATGTACTTTACTTCTGCATCCAAGTATTGACGCTTCTCAAAATTAACCCTATAAAAACGCTGCTTTATAGGCTTGGAGTCACCCACATCTACATCGTGCTCGAGTAGATGTGTGCGACCCGGTGTGTCCGAAAACAAAGCAGGAAACTGATGCACCAACCGCACTAACTGTTTTGCCCGGTCCCTCGACAGATGAGCAAACAGAGAGTCCAAGTTCCTCAAAGTTTCCGAGTTTTTAAGACGCCCCTGAACAAGAGCGCTGACCAGAGTACCAGCGGCCCCGTCATCTCTCACACCAGGTGACAGGGAGCTGTCCGTGGTGCTGAACTCAGTCACCCCAACAAACCTATCAACTGCGCACGCTGCCTTAGCCTCGCCACCCCCCAGCTGCTCCACATCAGCCTCACGGGTATAGTATGGCTTCAACAGGTTCACGTGGCACAGTTGAGTCTTCTTCCTGCGCTCAGGCATGGAGATTACGTAGTTCTGGTCAGACTTTCGCTCCAGTACCGTATAAGGACCTGTGAACTTTGCTTGAAAAGGAGAGGTTAACATTGGACACAGGGCTAACACCTGATCCCCCGTCAAAAATGAACGCACCTCTGAGTGCCGGTCAAACAGTGCTTTCATTTTCCCCTGTGTAGCAGCCATTTTCTCCTGCACCAATGCTCTCGCTGCATACAAGCGCCTCCTAAACCCATTCACATAGTCCACAAGTTTCTTTGGCGGTTCAGGCTCCCTGAAATCGCCTGCCACTGCTGCAAGGGGACCTTTAACTGTATGCGCAAACACAAGTTCATTAGGGCTAAACCCAGTGCTCTCCTGGGTAACCTCACGGGCCCCCAACATCAACCACGGCAATCCTTCCTCCCAGTCTCCTCCCAGCTCTGTACAATAGGCACGCAGTAGAGACTTTAGAGACTGATGGAACCGCTCTAAAGCCCCCTGGCTTTCAGGATGGTATGCTGTAGACATCCTATGTCGCACCCGAAGCTGCTTTAGAACCTGGGCAAAAAGATGAGACGAGAAGTTAGTGCCCTGGTCGGATTGGATAACTTTGGGAATGCCAAACACAGAAATAAACTGTGTTAGGGCACGCACCACTGCCCTGGCAGTGATTGTTTTTAGCGGATAGGCAGCAGGATACCGCGTCAGCTGACACATTACCGTCAACAAATAACACGAACCAGCCCTAGAACGTGGTAATGGGCCCACACAATCTATAACCAAGTGCTCAAATGGCTGAGATGTCACCCCAATTGGACTTAATGGGAATGGCTTCAACACCTGGTTGGGCTTGGCTGTAAGCTGACACACATGACATGTCTTAATATATGCTGAAACGTCCTTCTTAAGACGAGGCCAAAAAAAATGTCTCAGGACCCGGTCGTAAGTCTTAGTCACGCCAGAGTGTCCAGACTCGTCATGGGCCACCTTTAACACAGCAGAGCGAAATTTACTGGGCACAACAATTTGAAAAACAGGATCACTGGCTGGGCCAACGTGTGACCACCATTTCCTCACCAACAGTGACTCCTGAAGGAAGTACCCACACGCACTGTCCACCGCTTCACCTGTAGGGCGCACCTGCTCGAACAGGTTCTTTAGGGACACATCAGCCTGCTGCTCCAGCCCCAGCTCCCTATGAGTCAAAGCCACAGGAAAATCAGACAAGGGAAAGATAATGTTTTTCACACCTCCCTCTTCCCCAGACTGCGCCCGCGCCATGGCCCGAGTCACGGCACACGCTGTGAACACCTCCGGAAACTCCGCACTATCTCCATCGGTGTGGGGAACAACCAGTGGCCCGGAATCCGCCTCCATGGGCACAAGTGACGGAGCAGCGTCCCACAACCGAGACCCCGCCAAACTGTTACCCAAAATGACAGAAACCCCCGCTATCGGCAATGCAGGTCGTACAGCCAATGCCACTTCTCCAGAAAAGAGCTCACATTCCAGAGACACTTTGTGCAATGGAACAAACAAGATGTTCAATCCCATGCCCCGAACTGGCACACATGCCCCAGTCTCAGACTCACTGGACAATGGCAAAACATCGGCACGAATAAAAGAATCAAAAGCCCCCGTATCTCTCAATATCTTTACCCGCACTTTCTCGTCACTGCCCAGCAACGACACATAGCCCTCACGGATGAACGGAAGGTACGAGATACAAGCTTCAGACTCAACACGCTCCACCTCATGCTCATTACGCTCTTTACACCCATTACGCACCGGTACCGCTAACCCCGCGCCCTTAGGATCAGAGTGGGACCCCCCAGAGTGGGACCCCCCAGACTTATTCTTCAGCGCATAACAATTCGCCTTAATGTGTCCACGCTTCTGACAGAAGTGACAAACACGGTCCCAATCACCTGTGGTCGAGCCTTTAGCACTAACCTTTGACACATCTGGTCTAGCAGAGCCCTCCTCACGCCATACTTTAACGTTCCTCGAGCCCACAGTCTGCGCATAGTCTCTATGGGTCAGCACATACTCGTCCGCTAACACTGCGGCCTCTGTTACTTTCCCAACCCTCTGTTCGTTGAGATAAACAGCAATTTTCTCCGGAACACAGTTTCTGAACTCTTCCATCAAAATCAAATCTTTTAACTGGTCCACCGTACTAACGTTTTGTGCAGCGCACCACCTCTCAAACAATGAGATCTTCTCACGCCCAAAGTCTACGTAGGTTTGAGTGTCTAACTTTTTGTAGCGGCGAAACTTTTGCCTGTACGCCTCCGGTACCAGCTCATACGCCCTTTCGACTGCCACTTTTACCTTGCTATACTGCAAACTATCCTCCGGTGACAGCGAGGCATACGCTTCTTGCGCCCTCCCCGTGAACACACACTGCAGCAGCAGCGGCCAGACACTCTCGGGCCAGCTCAAAGTACTCGCCACACGCTCGAACAAAACAAAATACTTATCCACATCCTTCCCCGTGAATGGTGGAATTAATCTGATGCTTTGTTCACGTCAAATTCTGCTTGGGAACTACTGCTCTGGCTGATAGACAAACGAGTAGACGCCTGTCTGAAACTCGCCTCCAGCTCCAATTTACGCAGCTCAAACTCATGTTGCTGTTGGCTCTCTCTTTCCCGAAACCTAAGCTCTCTTTCCCGCTCTCTGTCCTGTATTTCTTTTTCTTGAAGTTCTAACTTTCGCATTTCCAGCTGCATCGCCATTCTCCGCATCTCCGCATCAGACACAACCACTGGAGAGAAAATGCCCTGCGCCACCAACGCTGACTGAACCTGCGTTTTAAGCACTTTCTTCACCTCCTGCTTTGACACGGAAATTTCATAGTGCGCCGCGATCGCCAACAAATCAGACTTACTACACTCATCAAGCCTCCCCACAGTGGGATCAGCCACAAAATCCTCTACCACAGACTCCATACTCATACCAAACTACACACACGCGTTAGCCATAAACAAACAAACAAACCAGACTACTACACTGCGAGTGGAAGTGTCACAACTAGTGCGCAGCAACAGGCTCACACAACCAGAATCCCCTCTATACTTTGCCTACCTATCCCAAAACTCACCTGCCTAACTGTGCCTAGCTCTTCACGTGGTTCAGCAGCGGGAATATTAAGCACGAAACCAGTGGAGCAAACAGTTCCACGGAGTGCCCCCGAGATCAATGCTCGCGCATTGAACACCAACCGCGTTCCCACGACACTATTAACACAAAACAAAACAGGTGAAGCCTGAAGCGGCAACACCACTTCGCCTAACAGGAGACCCAGCTGTAGACAGAAGCCATTTGCGTGCGACACAAGACAGAAAACACTTCACTCACCTGTAGTCTTGAATGAACCAATAACTTCCACGCGAAGCCGTGTCCTCACCACAACTTTACTGCACGTACACTCGCCTCCTCAGCAGCGGTGACGTCACGTCCATTCACAGATTCACAGAAAGTAGGTCAATGGATCCACTCACGCACAGCGCGCGCGTACAAACTCTGAATCCACACACACTACCACGTCTAGGGGAGATTCCAAAACACCACTGAATGACTTTCCAAATATGTTTAGGACGAAGCCCCCATTTGTTACGGCCCGGCTCGTGAGACCATAACATGAGAGGGAGGACACGACAAACTGAGAAGTTTAAACCCTCTGTGGGGCATTTATTTAAACAATAATAAAGTAATCTGTATGAAATCAGTGTAAGTGAATGGTATGCTGTGGGGTGCAAGGTGTTGTATCTGAAAGTCAGTAGGACAACCGTTGTAGTGCATATATTGTGTTGTAGCGCGTGTAAATGAAAAGACAAACTGGCGTGGCGGCTGGTCCAACAGGGCCCAGAATGGTAGCGGCAGTCCGGGCACGCCGGCAGGTGCCCAGAAGCCAGGTGAGAGAGAGAGAGTGAGGGGAAGCCGCTTTTTGAAGCATCCGGGAGGTCACATGACTTCCCAGCTGCCTCCCATCATCTCTGAACGTCATATGAACACTGCCACCACAGGCCCAGCAGAGGGGGCCGTCACAGTGGTGATGTAACCACGTGGACACACTTTCAACTGCCTCTAGGTCTCTACCTCAGGCCTCCACCCATCACGTCTCCAGAAACCTCCACTTTCATGGCCCCGGTCTCTCTCACACCCACTCAGTTCTGGAGTGGCGTGGGGAGGGGCAAGGAGGTGGCATTTTCCTTTGCTCTTTGATCTGTGACCTGTGGCTGGGTGGGCTTTGCTGTCCAGTGTCCACTCCAGCAGTCCAGTGACCCTGTACAGTGTGTGCCCTTGGTCCTGGAACACAACCTTATAGTCAAAATCAAACAACAGATATCAGTTTGTGAATGAGATTGTTTTTCTCCCTAAAGTCTAAACAATTTTGGAGCGCTCTGGGTTTTTCAACATGCGCTATGTAAATAAAGATTACTTATTATCTTACTAATGATGACATTTTTAAGACCAGAAACTCTTAATATAAAAAACAAGACTCAAATCTCAAAAATCTTCAAACTTTAAAATATGTATTATGTACTTTTGTACTGTGTGTTTAATTATCTATGCGTCCTTGGGTTTCTTGAAAGACGCCATGAAATGAAATTATTTTGGAAAACATTAAAACATAACCTGAAATCAAACAAAAGATTTAGCTCCAGCTAAACTGGATTTGGTTCATAAATAAAACTCAATTGTGCTTCGGAGCTGCCTCCTCCTGTCTCTGGGAAGCAGGAGCAGCAGGAGCAAGGTCACGCGTGTAGTCAAAACAAAAAACAAAAGTCACCACTTGAATGTGAATTGGGTGAATTGGGTACAGTTCAACTTAATAATACTTTTACAGCTAATCCTAATTCCCTCTTTCTTTTTAGACGAAGTCTATAATCAATAATCACTTTTAACACAGATTCTAATTTAAATGTTTGAAAAACGGCTTTTGTAACTAAAATAAAAACATAAAAACAAACACAACTCACAAAAAGTTAAGAAATAAGCAGCAGATTTAAAAGAATGGAATCTAGAAATATGTTAGATCTAAAAAGAATTGCACAGCTTTAGCACTAATCTTTGGGTTTCAAAAACATATAATATTCAAAACTTATTCACTAATGGTGTTTAAAAACGTTTAACTGTGTCATAACACAACGTTCAATGGCAAATTTCGCAAATTTAACTGAATAACAACTATGAAAAGCCAAAATCCTAAAAGCAGTAGCTCTGATTCAGAGCCAGAGCAGCGAAGGAGGGGGCCGTTTCCCTGACAACGGCAGCAAGATAGTGCGACGCACACACACAGGCAGAAAGTAGTGTTTTAGCAAAAATGCAAAAACAGAAAGAAGAATAACTTTCAAGATTACTTTGTGTAATACAAAATATGATTTTGTGATGTAATACAAAATAACATTTTATAATCATGTGTGAAACGTAAGGAAAATGCGTTAAATAGTGATCCTGATGGTCAGTAATGTGATTTGATAAAATGTAATGTGATTTAATGTGATTTATGTAACATTATGCTAACTAGGTTAAAGTTCATTTAAGTGTGTTAAAGTTCACGGCAAGGGAGGATCGTATATGCTTAAGAACTGGGCCAAAGTTCATTTAAGTAGGTGAAAGTTCATTCCTCTGCGCAGCCTCGGTGATAACTGGGGGAAAGTTCAAATAACTGGGGGAAAGTTCACTCCTCTGCGCAGCCGCTGTGCTAACTGGGGGAAAGTTCAAATAACTGGGGGAAAGTTCACGCCTCTGTGCTATCTAGGGGAAAGTTCAAATAACTGGGTGAAAATTCATACAAGTAGGAGGACCAAATATGCACTTCCTTCCTGTCATGACCATATATGCATTTCCTTCCTTGCCCATATATGTACATGTACTTCCTGAATGAGGTCATCCTTAATGCTGAGGGGGCTTTCCACTGCATGCGCTATAAATAGGGAGACTCAGAGAGGGTCAGGCAGTTGGGCAGCGCGCAGCGCAGACGAGAGCAGCCGGAGGCTTTCATTCAGGGGTCCTTGTGAGAGACTTGTAACGCGAGACCTTTGTAACTCTGTAAACTTGGATTGCTGCTTTGCCTGCTTGGCTTTAAATAAAAGAGTCGCTTAGGCTCACGAAAGACAACTTTTCGACTCCGCTTCACACTTTCTTAAAACCTTCCTTGAAGAACGCTTGGACATAGCATAGATAGTCCGAGGCAGTCCCGCACGTCTCTCCCATAGACTGTAAGTCTCTGCAGAGGATTCAATATAAGCTAGCTATGTTCACCTGGGCTTGATTTCTTCTTGGATCAGTTTTTTCGCTTTATTTCCCTCTTCTCTTCTTGACTGTTGTGTGTCGTTTGGGCGGTTTTGCTGTGTACGCAGTTACAGCAAGAGGAGTTATAGCCAATTCTGCTAACATGCTACTGTTTTTAGCAGCGCTGTAGAGGCTAGAGGACGCTGCCTCGTTCAGATTCAGATTCAGATTCATTTATTTGCCATTTGCAGTAAAACCACATTGGAAAAACTGTGCAAGACTACCCCGGTGTGCGCCAGACAGAGACGACACACACCAGAGCTCTTGCCACGGCGCCATCTTTTCCGGCGCCATGCGACAAACAGTAGAATAAACAGCAGAGAGCAATAACATTCAGGTTACAACAGAGAAAACATTGTGGCTTGTATAAACCACGGATCTTTTTTCGGGATGAACGCCTTCTGCAGCCGGTGGCTGTCAGAGGGGGCGGGGTCAGGGAGGGGGGGGGGGGGGGTCTGTGAGTGGAGGAGAGCCAGCGTCCCGCTAAAAGTCCATCCATCCATCCATCCATAATACAACAAATATGTACTTATGCAGATTTTGTATTAACTCAATAGAAAAAAAAACGGGTATAGCTTCTTTAATACTGTAAATCTCCCAGATCATCCCTGTAAAGTGAAAATGAGAGCCCGAAGAGTCAAATAATGACTCAGACTCAAAGGGTTCTTTACAAAGATTCTTTCTCTTTGAAAGAGAATGTGTTATTTATGATAGAGCATGGGTTACATCATATTTGTCTCAGGAACGTCTCTGTCCATCCTTTAGAAAACACTCCCTACATCATCAGGGATGTCCTAACTTTTTCGGAAAATGGACGCTTTAGTTAACCAGGCTCGACCAAGGGTCACCAACACGGACTGTAAAACTATTCCAAGCTTTATATTTAGCTATTTCTGAGAGACTACAGAAATGTCTAAATATAAAGTTGAGACAAAAAATATATATATTTATTGATTTGTTTGTAGCCTAGACCCCAGCAGCGTCTTTGAAGATCATTGCTTGTGTGACACTTATGATCCCCCTGGGGTTGAGTTACTTGTGGTGGCATGAGGCCTATATACTTGTGTCACTTCACCATAGTCTTCCCCTTAAAGCAGGAGAAGCCAATTTGAACAAAAGCTAGCTGGAGCAAATTTTATTTTTAAGAGCATTTGTTAGCTTCGTATTGTAACAGGGACAGACCGTGTTGCTAAGGTGGTTGTTAGGGCAAGCTGAAGTTTCCCCACAAATGAGGGCATCTGATTGATCAATCTTTATGGCGGTTAATATCAGGATATACAAAAGACAATATCTCAATATAAATACCAGGATTATGGAGAGATAACCAGAGTTTTGTGTTTTTGCACGTCACAATATGCCCCCAAAACAACAACAAACAAAACATGCGACCTCTGATCACTGAAGAAGTCAATCAATCAATCAATCAATCAAACTTTATTTATGAAGCGCTTTTCATACAAAAGATGCAACACAAAGTGCTTTACAGTTTGGTTAAAAACAATCCCGCCGGCCCATGACCCCTCCCCCCGACCACCCGACAGACCCACCCAAACCAGACAAACACACACACGCTCTCATGCACACTCTCTCTCACACACACACACACACACAAAACAGTTGTGCGGTTGGATAAAATGTTACATCTGATTGTGTTTATCTTCCCCATGAAGTGGACTGCAAAATCCTCACAGAGGGAGTCTGTGGGGGTTAAAGAAGCTATACCCGATTTTTTTTCTAAGTAGTTCATAAAAATGCTTTTTACTACATACAAGTTGTATCATAATACATAATTTAATTGAAAACTTGAGGTCATTGATTCCACTGTGTATGAAATTCAGGCAGTGAAAAGTGCTGAGTATAGTCTGAGCGGGCCGCTCGTTCTCCTCCGCTCACAGAACAAGAAGCGACCAGCCTGCGTCCTCTAGCCTCTACAGCGCTGCTTAACACCAGGGCTTCGACTTCAAAATTTTAATATAATTCTAAAATAAAAAATATATACATATTTGAACAAATATTAGACAACCCTTATAATTAGAAATGTATTTAATGACTGCAAATAAAATAGTTAGCTCCCAAAGGTTTCACCGGGACGTGCTAGGCAGGTAACAGCTAAGCTAGCTAGCTGTTTCATGGTAACTTCCGGGTTTTTCGCGATCGCTTTTTG